ATTTATTGATGACTGAATTATCTTTTTTGTTTGAGCGATATGTCCCAAATGGAACGTCATTTTGATTTTGAAATATTTTCCATTTTGTGCAAAGACAGAGACATTAATTTGAATACTTTTATCAGCAATAATAATCATATGAATCTCAACAGTATGATAATAACGTTAATAATTGCAAACACGACCATGATAACAGTACAAAAATATTAAAAAAAGATGCTGGGACGGAACTGATTTAGAAATCATCACAGCGGAATTTGAAATAAAAAGAGAACCACAAACCGCTTATGGCATGATAAACGGTTTTTGATCAAGAAAATAGAGAGAAGCGTGTTCTGCATGATGAACAGTGACGTTCCATAATAATTTAACAAATGCATGAAAGACTGATTTTCGATCCCTCCCAATACCCCTTTGATAACCCAAAGTCACTGCAAAAGGGATAGATTTCCTCTTATAAGAACCCCTGGCATAGATGAAACCGGTAAAACTGTTCAGCGAGCAGTGGCGAAGGAATCGTGACGCATCATCGATCGTTGAATGAGTGAATTTTGATTAAAGTGTCCTGAAAATGAGAATTTTACATTGAGAATTCCATTTCAAATTTCGATAAAGCATTGCAGTGATTCATTAGCAGTCAAGAAGCGTCAGAAATGACTACGTTCTGAATACAAATAGGAAATCAAATAATTTCGACAGTTACATATGAAAGGATAAAAACTTTGAAAACGAACACTTGAACTAAATGAAATTTCATTTCACGATTACAGATAAAATATTGAGATACTATCCATGACAATAATACAACAGATGGTTTAGCATCATTCCCTTAAAAAAATACTTTTGGATACAATAGTTTCTTCAAAATTAGTGAATCTAAGAACTCACATTGATTCCATAAACCCATTCGCATATATCCTGAGCAAGAATTGAGCCTCTACATTCGGTTCATATGTTGACGGAATAATCACATAATCACCCGGTGTAACACGGAATCGGGCCGTTACCTGAAATGCTCACCAGCACTTCAGTTGAACCCTTCAGTTGAGTGAAATATCGCTAAAGCGGAAATGAGAACGCTAGGAGAGCATGGAAAATGTGCGATAAATCGATGGAATCTTCTTCAGATGATGGAAATAATAATGGAATGTCGAGTGATTGAATACACAAATTAACACATCGATAGGCAGATTTAGAAAACGCGAGTAAATTCAGAGATTTCGCAGTGATCAAACGAATAAAGCAAACGCAATAAACGGACTGAATCAATGCCGTGATCACCTCTCTCAAGTTGATGAAGGCATCACTTCGAGCACACGCTCTGTTCAATCTGAAAAAGTCTTCATCGAGTCGTCCACTGGTTCCATCGGCCTGAAATTGCATCAGATTCATACGATGTTCATGAG